GGATCTGTACAGCAGAGCCTCAGCATGAAACTCTTAGTTTTTCTACATAGAGAACCCTCCCAGCAGGATGATTAGAATAATATGTGCAAAGACAGCACCAAAATTCAATTAAAACTGGCAATTTTTGTTGGAAACAGACTAGGGAAAGAATTTCACATCTCAAAAGCCAGCTTGTATCACTGAGCCAGAAAGCATGGGTTTACAGGAAAGGCCTGTTAAGGAGAGTGCATGACTTGGACATTTGACACTGGGAGATATGGGCTCTAAAATCTGGTATACACAGAACATTTGCTACCAAACTAGTTTTTGATTTTCCAACACTTTCATTGCCTTTTTCCCCACTTCCCCCCTGAAATTCTTTGGAACTAAAGGAGTAATCTTAATTGACCTTTAACCATGAAATATTGGCTGGTAGTACAGCCAATGCCTTCACAAGGTCAAAGTTGGTTGGATACAAACCAGATCCTAGAGCTTTGACCTCGTCATATTCAACAATCTCTAAAGACAGTCCAAGAAAAAGTGAAGAGCAAACATGCTCTTCTCCAAATAGAAATTCCCTCCAGGGTAGGATTTAAGAGAAAATTTTCCATTGCTGCAGCCTGAGTTGGATTTGATCAGTGAATATTTAAGAATTCAAGGAAGCTTTCTGACTTCAGTTTGACTGAAGTTTGATCAAGGTTTCTATCCTGGGGATTTCAGAGATTTCTTTCCTAGCACCAAGTCCAAAGAAATGGATAGCACTCACATTAAAAAAAGAAAGAAAAATAAATAAAATAACATGAACATCTGGAAGTCGGCCCTCAAAAATGCTGTGTATAATCAGGATTAAGCCATTACATGTCTTGCTTCTTAAATTATGGAAAATTGAATTGTTCTGAATTACAGTTCTCTCTGCTAAGAACCTGCTACAGGCAGAAAAGAAAAGCAACCACTGCTTAAATAGCAGCAGCAGAATTCCAGCTTTTGAAAAACTCAGGCTTCCCCTTCACAAACCATTCAAACACTGGAATGTAAAGTAGTGATGAAAAATGAAAACCATGTCAGCCCAGTAAGCGATATATTAAAAGCAAAGTGTTTGGAGTCAAAGGCCCTTAAATAAATCTAAAATACATACTTTATTTTAAGCCCTAAATCTGCTGCTGCTAATCCTCATATTTAAAGCCAGAAATCTATTTTCCTGGAAAGCAGCTGAAGCAAGATGGAATTTGACATGGCTAGCACCACACTGTTACTGTCTACAATATTTGTTGTGTCCATCATTACCAGCAATATCTCTCTGTTGTATTTCAAAATTACTCTTATACTTAATGTACTCCAACTAGTAGAAAATAGCCAAAAACTGAAAGCCCAATTCCCTGTTCTCTGCTGCAATAAATACAGAAGTTGTAGGTGGTATCCTAACCTGCTAAACCACCCCATTTCCTTCGCTGACAGCAGCCAGCATTCACACCTTGTCTTTTCATCAAGCTTTGCACACGTTTAATCCTGAGCCAACTGTGGGCCTGGCAAGAATTTTTTGTCACCCTTTTAGAGTGCAAGGAACTGGAAGAGGGAGGTTCAATGAGCTGCCCAGGCCCTAGAGGTTTGTAATGCTATAATAAGAGTTAGAAACTGGAGGTGATGTGGTCACATGGCTATGGCACATGCTCCTGGGATCCAGAAACTCTGCATTTGGTGTTCTCTGCAGCAGAGAGGTGGAAGGGATCCTCTGTGATCTCTTCTGCCTCTGAACATCAGTTTTAACACTGGCACCTGCTTCTTACAGGAGTTCTTGGACAGAAGAGGTCATAGCACAATGTGCCTCTGGGTATTTCTGTGTGCAAAGATGGACACAGAAGTGAGAATAGATGCAGTGAGAAAGATTTATAAATTCTTACTCTAATTTAATAAAGTTATAAACATACTATTACTCAAAGATTTAGAAATTATCTTTTCTAATATGTGAGAAGCAAGGAGAAAAAAAAAAAAAAGATATGTTGCTGTGAGATTCTAGTGCCTGAATTTTGGGCTCTTCTGTGGCAATGAATAAAAGCATTAGCCTTGGGCAGAGCTGTCCATAGCCCTCTGGAGCCCATGGCCAGTGAGGGCAGTGGGAACCCCTCCAGTCCTCAGTGCAAAATAAATACTTGTCTGCCACATGAGCCTATGAGTAGCATCCAGCAAGCAATATTAATAATAATTATTAGCTTGCTCCCAGCTGAGAGGAAGCTTCTAAATTTCTTCTGGAAGGAGCTTTGTGAGGAAGAAGAGCCCAGTCCTTGTGCAAGCACTGCAGGCCCTCCTCCTGCCAGCTAATGCCTCCAGCTTGACCACAGGCTTTAGCCTTGCCAGATCTTTGAATCCCTGTTTCTCCTTTTTTTAATATAAAATCCTATTGGTTTAGGTTAAAATCAGAAAATCCCTTGGGGTTCAGTGGGATGGGACTAATTAGGCAGCATGGACATAATCTGGTCTACACAAGCAGTGACTAACTCCTGACATACTGGTAATGAACAGACCTGACAAAGAAATGAAACAGGGCAGAGTCTTCTCCTGCCAAATAACACATTTTTGTGCCAAATATATTTGAAACAAAATAATCCAAGTAATTCTGTTGATTTTTAATCCCAGGTTTTGATTTTCACTTTTTTTTTAAACTTCTTTGATCTTTGTGATGGGGAGGTGGAGGGACAAAGGCTCATATTTCTATCCTTTTTTTTTCCACAGACAAAGGAAAGGGAGAGGAGAGAAATGGGAGAAAAATGCTTGTGTTCAGTCTCTTTCCATATCTCCTCAGATATTTTATTTCTCCCACTTTTCTGGCTGGAGACTACAGTAAGAGAAAAAGTGGAGGCAATATATGAAATCAGGAAGGAGCAAAGGTTTCTTTCTTTTATTTATTCTTGTTTGTTTTGTTTTCCCTCTTTTTTTTTTACAAGCAGTTAAGAGATTGATTAAATGATACTAAAAATTCAGTGATTCAAATACTGAAAAGTTAAAGCAAATCAAAGACTTGTTGAGGGACATGAAAGTAAAAGGTTGAATTTGGATTTACTGAAATTTTTTACTGTAATTAAATACTTACAAAAAGTTGCATCATAAAGTTCATATTCCAATGGTAGTAGAATATAACTGATAAAGGAAGGGTACAAATAGAGAATAAACAGGGAAACATAAAATGCAGAAACAAATTATTTCAGGTCATGATTCTGGAATCTGTGATATTTCCCACAGTATGGAGGACATTATAGAAACACCAGTCAGTCTCAACCTTTAAGGCACTGAGTTTTCTCAGCACCTTGTCATTTCCACTGAAGTGTAACATCTTCAGTATCTCACAGTATCTGCCCCCCACTCCCATATGTCTGGTGTGAAATTTCCCCAGCCTGCCTCCATATGGGACTGCTCTGGTCATGGAAAAGCTGTTCCCTGTCTCCAGCCTTGCTGTGTCACTGCTGTAATCATGACTTATGGATGAGCTTTATCACTGCATGAGAGACTCAGCCATCCCCAGCCAAGTAGTGAAAACCACAGCCCTTGGAATAAAATAAACCAACATACAGTTATTGCCACTGTTGCTTTTGCTATAGTCAAGGGAGCCTTCAAAATATGTTTCCAAGTACATTTCCCAACATCTCACCTTCAGAGCTTTGTTTCACAGGCCTCGCCTACAAATCTCAGCCCCCACCCAGGCATGCTGATGGTCTGTTCTATGCTGAGCCTCCATCGCTGTGTGACTGAGAGTCTCTGTCACACACACAGTGCCAGCAATGCTCTACGTACTTAGAGAAGTCTGGGCTGTCCTTTCATATGACCTTGGTCTGACTAAAATTACTCTTCTGTGCTTGAACCATGCAGCTGATATTCTTCATGATGATGAGATAAATATCAGATCAGGATGGAGTTTCTTTTTTTTTTTTTTTTTCTTTCTTTAACTAATAGAGGGACTAAAATCTGACACTATCTAATTATTAAAATATGAGGAAAGGGGGAAAATGGATGGTTTAGACACTCATACCAGAAGACAATTTTGTCACTCAGCATCACCCTGTTTGGAGGCAAGGTCTTGAAACTGGGCTGTATTCTCACTGAAGATACTGGGAAGCACCTTTGGGTGCTCTCAGGAGGCTTTTGCCTCTATTGGGCAAGCTAATTTTAACTTCCCTAACGTTACATCCTTTCCCCAGAGGTTTTTCCTGCACTGAGCACCTGTCAGTCACTCTGGGGCAATAGGAGAGGAGCCAGACTTTCTTCACCACTGCTCCCCAATTTCCTGCCATTCTCTCCCTCATGTTGGACCAAGCACAGTGGCTTTCTGTCCACTTCCCAAAGGAGTCTTTTACTGCCAGTTTCGACTGAGCTGTTTTGTTTTGGGAGGTCTTCATAATCAAGCACCACTAGAGGACTTGAAACAAACCAGAGAGATTTCATGGTTTCCTTTCAAAGGACTCATGTGCCAGGAATCAGCTGTGTCTCTGAGGAGATGTATTCACAGGGAACTGGGGAAGCTGAGCCCAGGGTGGCAGCTTGGGCACGTGATCTGGGTTTTGTGGACTCTCAGTGAGTATCTGTGCTGCATGGAAAGTGCCACTGAGTAAAGATATGCCTTCCTGTGTGCTGAAAGCAGCAGGAGAGTCTGTGTCATGTACAGACAACTTCTTTATCCCAAGAGTGCATGACTTGCAGCCCAAGCCTGAGACACCTCCGCAGCGCTCCCCATTTCTGCTGATGTGTCACTTGGATGCTGCCATGGGGGTCAAGGCTCTGTGGTGCAAACACAAAAGCTATGGAAAAAGTATCCTCCTGTGACCTGTGTGCTGAGGAGAGGCACTGCCTCCCTGTAGCTGTCTGGCATGGTGCTAGCTTCTGTGGAGCAGAAATCACCCTCTGTTCCTGCTTATTCAGATGCTGAGCACCCAGGTTGCCAAGGTGTTGCAAGGTCTAGCAGCTAAGGCACTCTAATGCACTTTACCACCCCATTTACCTTTCCTAAAATCCAGTTTCCAATCTTCTTCACTTACCTAGAAGGCCATTTCAGAGACCAGCAGGCCTGTGCCAGCCTCCTTCCATCAGGAGCCTCTCAGGAGAGTCTGTATGGCAGTGCTGGTCCTACTCAACCTACATGACACCAAAAAGAGCAAAGTCTACTTAGATTTTTTTTTTTTTTTAACAGTAGAAACAGGAAAAAAATCCATACTCTTGGTGAAAACAATGGGAGAAATAAAATGAATGCATATTACTTCACCCCCTTTCCTACCTCCATGCATTCCTGGTCTGAGCCAGGGGACTGGGAGAACTAGAACTTAACCTAAAGCCCCCCACTTTGTTTCACTTCTTTTAGATATTTTTGGAGGGAGATGTTGCAGGTGACCTTCTCAAATACCTGTACTGCGTGTAAGAGGGAAAAGTGGTAAAAGCCATGACTAGAATTTCAGGAAGAAATCAGTAGTCCTCTGGAGACCTGGTATGCTACAGCTGTAAATGTTACAGCCCTCCAATCAAGATAGAAACAGCAGTGTGTGCCTCAGACACCACCATCCTCAGTAGTCAGGGAGGACTTCATGGGTTAGTGCAGCGCAGCTCCATTAGAAATGCAGTGTGCCGGCAGCAAGCAGGGTCAGCTCACAAACAGCAAAGGGACAGAAAGGAAATGGTCACACTTATACCAAATGCCAGGCCTCAGACTGTGCTATCACTTCCATCTGCCCTTGTGGCCGCACACCTGATGATACAAACACTGTGAGTGCTTGCTCAGAGCTCTCACTGAGCAGTGTGGCCCTGTCAGCCAGCCCTGCACAGCGCAGAGCACAGGCTGAAGGTGTGTAACACTGCAAAGCTGCTCAGCATTGGCAGCAGAGCCAGGAACATCATGTCTTCTCCAGCTGCAGCTCTTGCAAATCCGTGGGAAACTTTTCCTCTCAAATATCTCCATTACTTTGCTATATTCATTCTTGTTGTCTGGCTTGTATTTCTGGGTGCAGATAATTCCAATGCAGTTGCATAAAGCTACCCTCTATTTTGGTATCAAGCCATATATTTTCAACTCTATAATATTTGTCACTAATATAAGCATATCTTTATATGTGTTAAATGCCAAATTGGCATATGAACTCTTGGCTAAGCCAGGGCCTGGAGACTTCTCCACATGGCATCCCTCCAGGCTGCAGGGATTGCTTCCACTTCAAATAACTACTTTTCCTTGAAAGCTTCTGTGGCACCTGTGTTAACAACAGCAAGAGACCCTCAGGACAGTGTCAAAGCACACTTGGCAGCTGCATAGCAGGGAGGGAGCACTGACTTTTGTCCCCTTGTCCCTTGAACCTCCCCGTGCTGTGAAAGCCGAGCCATGTGTGCAGCCCATTGGCAAAGCCTTCACGTGTCACAGGCTCCTTTTCACCACAGCTGAGCTCCTAAACCCCCATCACCTCCCATCTGCAAGGTATTCTCACTTCCAAGCCCAGAATAGCTCTGCCTGTGCTGGGATGCTGCTTCAGCACTCAAAACAGACTCATCTTTTCTATCTCTCCCTCTTTCTTTATCAGTCCTGCTCTGGCTTGCCCAGTTAAACTGCCCAAAGCACCTCTCAATCCAAAAACTGCCTGAAAAGTCTCCTCCCTGGGGCTGCCTTGCTGCTGTGTCCACTTTCTCATTTTGTGCTGCTTCTCACACATCGTCTCATAGTAGCAGGCTCTCTGAATCCAGCACTCCAGCAGTAAGTGACAAAGAAGTTGATTGCAAACAGATATTTTTGGTATGCATATATGTGAATGCATACTTATGTTCAAGACTGGAAATATTAAAATTGTTTTATTTCCTTGTATTTTTCCCCACTCATTTCATGTTCCATTTTTAGCTGTGCTTGCAATTTACTTGGAACCTGCCCTCTTAAGTCAGATGGATGAATTATTGCTTTGCTTTCTCTGGGAAAATAATACCATAGAACGGCCACTCCAGCATACACAAGTATTACTGGCAAGGAATATGTAGGTAGTTTAGATTTATATGGCTGTAAGTGAAAGCAGAACTTGGCTCTGTTCTGCCTGACTGTCATGAAAAGAGATAGTCACAATGGGCTTTAGTATGAACTAGGCTCCTAGAAATTACAGCAATAAAAATAGCAATGCCATCATTTGTTAATTTTAATTATTCCAAAGCTCAGACATTCAATCCTGTTCTTAAAGGGATGTGCTGAACAGAAACACCGAAAAGAAAGATATAGTTCTTTAACCAGCACAATACAGACAACATAAAGCCCTCCAGGAATTTATACCATCAGCACATGGTTTAAATACTACAGGTTCTTCTAGACAGAAAACAAGGTTCTTTTCCAACATCCTTTTTTTCCCATATTTGTAGAGTTTCTGAAGCAAGTTTCTCTTACTGAGGTGAATTCTATGCAAATGTAGAGACACATTATGGTGGCTGACTCATGCCTTGGACACCTGCATGCAGAAATGCCACCAGCCAGGCTGTGATCCTCATGTCTTAACAAAAGATGGTCAGGAGACTACAACCAACAGGAATCAGAAGGAAGAAAGCAGTTATAATTTTTTTTTCTTTTTTTTAGTTAGAATTTTTCCACAGGGTCTTGGGATTATTCTCAAAGCTCTGATGATTGTCCAAGCCTTATCCATGTTCTTATTGTCTTACAGATGGTAATGGTAATGATTTACCTTTTTGTGTCTGTCAATATCCAATTAACAGCATTTGAGAGCTAAGCAATTCCAAGCAGATCCTGCTGCACACTCTGTGCATTAAAAGCTCAGAAACAAAAGATTTCACTCAAATGTCACATGCAACTTTGATATTTTGTTCATTTCTTGAATGGATGTGCTTACTTTCAAGTTCATTTAGGGCTGATGACAAGTGCCATACTGACAAGCCCAAATTTTTCCAGAAATTCCTCATATCTTAATCGTATTGGGACCTGAGCATCTTCCAGCTGGCCATAAATTTGTGCAGCACATCCATCCCATGTGAGGTATCTTCCTTCACATCCTCTTTCTGGTGAAAGTTGTGCACACAAAGCCAACATGTTTGGGTAGTATTTTTCTGAAGAAGTGAAATTTTGCAGCCAATTGTGTCGCACAGCTGTCACAATGCATGTGCTGTTAGTTCCTTCCTCCCTCACTTGCAAACTTCCCTACAGTTTCTGAATCCACTGGCCACTTTAAGGCACACTGGATAAAATGAAAGAGCTGTCAAAGTTAAGAAGTTCCTAAAAAGCAGTGAAAACCAGGACTTGGATAGAGGATGGAGACCCCAGTGAGCATTCTGAGTGAGGGAGGACTGCAAGGTGAGAGAAGTTTGAACCTATCCTATTTTATTGCCAGCTGGGAAGGAGCAAACATATTTGAGAGCCAGGCAGTACCACATGACTCAACATAGGCAGTGGCACATGTTGCTTCTGGTTTCCCTGGAGTCAGAGGATCACTGGAGAAGAGATGAGAGTCTGTGACGTATTTCAGGCAGTGCATGGAAAAGTGAGCTCATGGGAAATGCTTCCATTGGTTGTCATTATGCTGATGACATCCAGAGATCCCATAGAAAAACAGGCTGCACCAATTTGCATGATCAGGAAGTAACTTGTTTTAATATTTGCCTGCTCATTGTTCCCTGCAGAAGAAATGGGTTGTGCCAAATGCCTGGCACTGTGACACAGAAAATTGAGCTGCAGGATGTCCCCAGAGGCTGGTGCAGAACAGTTTGTCCTCTGTGCCAATGTGTTTCCATGTGCAGAGCTGTTACAAACCTCAGATTCCCCTGCAGATACAGGCAACTGAAATTAATTTCGCTCCTAATACAGAAAACTCATTCAAATTACCTTCTAATGTGGCAAACAGAGCACATGTCCACAAGCTGCTGCTACAGGCAAAGTTTTGTTAACCTGCAATCAGTGAGTTACTCTAACTTCACTGTGATGCTGCAAGACAGAAATGACATTAACTAGAATGGAAGTTTAACAAAAAGCACACATCTGCAAGACCATTAGTAACGATACCATTGCATCTTCTCTTCTTCTTTTGTACAAAAGTATTCCCAGTAATGACACATCCTTTTCCTGATGTGCTTAGCTTGTTTTTCCTCTTACATTTCCCCATGCAAAGAGTAGCAATTGCGATGAAAGGAAGGGAGAATCAGAAGAGGAGGATATATAGATAGACATATATGTACTGTGACAGTATGTCTTTCATCAAACAAAACGAAACAGCAATCATGCCGTGCTCAGGAACACATGTTGCCCCATCATGGAGTCCTTCTGACTGATCATTAGTCAAAATCAGAGCTCTTTCCTTTCCTTCCTGTGCTTCTACACAGAGCAGACACATTGGTAATGAAGATGACTGCCTGCATGGGCTTTGCACGTGACCTTTCTCCAAAAGCAATTCCTTCACATCAGTTTTCCATCAAAATCCTCCTGTCCAGCTAATTCCTATGAGGCATTCTTAGGCCTCCCAGCTGGATGGACCTATTCCCTGACCTTGGCATACATTTTATAGTTAAACTTGCAAAAGCAAGCAATTTTTCAGACTGCCAGTCCAGGCAAGAAACCCGGGTTCTAAGAAGCCACACACTATGCACATGTTTTGTTTTACTGAGATCACTGGATTTGGCCAGCTGCTGACTCCTGGATTAATGGCCAATACCTCCTCCCCTCAGGTGTCCCACTTAGGTTTTCCCTGGAGAAATGGGGCATCCATCAGACCTGCTGGGATTTGAATCCCAAATTACTTTGGACATTGACCTTTCCAACACTGCATGAATTTTTTTAAGCAGTTACTGAAATCTCAATTAATGATTTATTTATTTTACAATTAATCAGCCCAATGGAGGAAAAAGGGATAGATTCTGACAGCTCCTTATTCCCAGAGCTGCTTATCAGCATGTACAGTAAACAGGGAGAAAAATCATAAATATTTAATTATTCCCCAAGATAAGGGATTTCAGAATGAAGAATTGCTTCCCAGTGGCAGACTTCAGCACAATGTAACAAAAATGGGTCACAGATTCCTAGAATGTAAAGTTTGTCATGGGTCTTCCCTGGAGCAAAGGATTCTGCCCCGCTCCCACACAGCTCCCAGGGGTCCCAGGCAGCTCCACCTCAGCATGGAAAGCCA